GCAGGAACACCCAACTCTTCTGACAACTGGGGATGAATAATCCATTTATAAGCTTCTTTCAGCTGAACAATATCATCCTTTGCCAAGGGAAGGCCCAGATTTCTGAATCACAAAGAAATAATAACTTGCACAGAGGTCTGTCAAAGACAGATACATGACATATAATATTTCAAGAGGAACTTAAGTAACAAGTGCCAAGTAAAACAGATTCTTTTTTTTTTTCCTTTGTAAAAGAACGTGCACTGAGGAAACTGATGCCAGAGCTTCCTGGTAGATCCAAAGCTGCAAGAGCTTTTCCAGAGTCTGCCTGGAGAAGAGCCAGGAAAGAGAGATGCATTTCAAACCAAGTTTGGGAACTTAAGAGAATTTCCTTATGATTATTTTGGAAGGCACAAAGTAAATTAAAATCTTAGCCAAGGACATAGGAAGTGAGTCTACATATTCCTTAGATCTGGAGAACTCGGGTGGAAGGCAGCTAAGGGCTGTCAAAAGCCTTTACTCACCTCATCTCCTGTTTCACCACCAGCCGAGCAGCATGCTGTGCTCACCAGCCACGCCCAGGAGCAAGAGAGGGGAAAAAGAAAAGCAAGTGAAATTAAGGCTCAAAACTCCCAACAAATTGAAAGACGAAAGGAAAAATACTTTGAGAACTCGGGACAAAAAGGAAGAATTAAGATTTTAATTTAGCTTTTGCTTTAGAGAAGGAAAGATGGAATTGGTGTTTGTTTAATTTCTAAGATGTCACTTTGCTCTTCACCTCAGATCCTATCTGGCTTTAAAAAACCCAAATATGAGGCTTCATTAAACACTTTGAAACTTGCTATTAACACTGTCACTAGAGAAAGACTCTGACCCTCTGTACCATACAGAGAAACATCTAAATGAATGGTATATGCACACTGAAAAATTAATAAATCTCCAACTCAGTTATCATCCATTATAAAAAACATGGAATAAAATACATACTTAGTCTTATGGTAACCCCAAAGTCTTTCCCTGAGAACTGCCCCCTTTTCTAATGCACACCATGTAGCTTAGAAGACATAGGCTGAATATGGGAAAGCTGAGGAACAATTCCAGAAATCAGGGGGAGCTTTTAATACAAACACTTGAGTTAGAATGTGTAGATAGAGGAACTCTATCAAAAGAAGTCTATTATCCTTCCTTTGGTACATCTAAATGAATGAGAGAATCCTAAAAACAGTGCTAGAAATATTAAGAGTGAAGTGGGATGGGGGGAGAGAGGACACAAACTTTGTAAGATACATGAAACACAAACCTACTGAACAAAATAAATACAGTTGTATAGATGGATTCTGTTTGCTCAAATTCACAGTGATTCATTACGCTGCATATGCAGACAGTGTGAGTAAGACTGCTTCACTCACTTGAGGTATGTTGTCATCTTGTTTGCATAATAACCCAGACAAAATCATAAATATAAATAGCTTCCAGTTGAAATTCCTTGAACATAACTCTGAACTAGTGAACATGACAGCCATAAAACTGGGTCTAGAAATCTGCATTTGACAAATACCAATTAAAAAAGCTCTCCCATGCCTTGATTTAGAGCATATGCAGTTTTGGGACTCAGTGGGGTGGCTGATCTTACTCCTTTTTCCTGTTTTCCAGGGGTACAATTGCTAAATAGATAAAAATGTGAGCAGCTATGCTAAAATGAGACCATGGGTCAAATTTCATCTCCTCTCTCTTGACTTCCAAACTGAAAGAGAATTAAAGAAATTACTTTTCCCCTTCAATTAAAAGGAAACAATAGATGAGGGTACTGCGGGCACAGAAGCCAAAAGATCCCAAATTCCAAATCACATTCCACCACCAAACCAGCCAAACCCCTCTACTCTCTCCCAGCTGTATGTGAAGCAGGGGATCAGATCCCTCTGCTTGGTAATTACTGCATGTTTGTGAAGTGGTTTGAAAATGAAAACTACTCATTACAGAGCTCAAGCCTGCAGGCAATGCTCGGCAGCAAATACATCTCTGAAAGACATGAGCTCAGGCACCGTATTGATTCCAAGCTGCAGGATATTATCCTAATGCTATCTGAGGGATCACAGTGGCAACAGTTGAAATGCCATGTGCAATCCCAGCCACAGCATTGTTTCACTGTGTCAGAAAAGGGCTTGGAGATGGGGAATTCCAGGATGAGGTATACCCAGGCCTAGAGAGAGTTATGACTACAGATGTTATTTGCATCCATGTCCTTGTAGCCAGTACCAGGATGATGGATCACAGCTGAGACTACAAACAGAGCTAACACTCACCCTTTTGAAGGGCACAACTCACTTCATATTCTAATATAGTTGTCTGAGATAAACTTGGGACTCCTGTATTTATGATTGAATTCAATCAAATATCCTACTTGTGGAAAGAGGCAATAGCTCCTTTGCGTCACAGATATAAATACTATGCAAATGTAAATTTTATGTCCTGCTCTTCTTCAGCTCCTCTCATACATTTTAGGCTTGGCGGGATGACAACTGTCATAATTAAATCAGTTGAAGGTAATATTAAAAGGCAGTTTCTGATTTTTTTTGTTGTTGTTGTTAAAAAGATGTTGGAAAAAAATCTGTCACACCAAAGGGCAATGGGAGGGCGAGAGGCTGTCTTTGCGGTGTCCTTTTAGGGTAAGATCACATGTATTCTTGTACAACGCAGTTCAAAGAATTAAACGCATAATCTAACAAACTACCCCATTTCGACACAAATAATTTTGACATATTCCTATATTTGATTTTGGAATTTTCAGATATTTTGACACATTTGCCACTTTTCTGTAACTGTAAAACAGGGACTGTTTTCATCAATTATTTTTAAAGTGCTAAATAGATATCAGGTAAACAGATAAATAGGTGGTAACTAAACACCCCTGGTTTTTGAAGTTCTTCCTCTACCATCACCCACTTTCCCTCCTGCAGGGAGAGCACACTGCAAACAGCTGTTTTAGCATGTGGCAGGACTGAAGGGATGGAGTAGCATAAACTTCCGTCTACAAACCTTCTCCCAGTTGAACCAAAACTGTTTTCAAAGAGAACAGATCCAGTTTTGGTGCTTCCTACTCACTCATCTCACTCCATCTATTCATTTTTGGTCCCACACCACAACTTTTATTCCCTTAGTTGTACCAAGCAAGCACTGTAGTACTGTTGGTTTGCTTGAGCAGAAGGACGTGTGAGGCCATCACTCACCTGAACTGCAATGCAACATCACCCTCTACTGAGGCCTTTTGGCAACTGCCAGCTGCTTTGTAAACACCTAAGCTTACACCAGGCATAAAACCAAGTCTGATCTATGTTTGGTATTTCACAGAGCGTCAGAGACATACCATACACTCACCTAGCCTGAAAGTACTTTTTTGACATACCTCATTTTTTTGGATGACCACATAATCAAATGGGAATGAGGGCAATTCATCCAGCCAGAAAGCACAAAGCAATTTGCTCTGGTATTATTTTACCAGACACAGTGGCAGCTGAAGCAAACACACCAATTATGTTCAATTGAAATGGAAAGAAAGAGAATCTTATGTTCAAGAAGACTCAGGACTAGAATGTATGTTAGCTGTTACACTGGCAATTGGCCAAGATACCAGAACTAACAGCACAAATCACGTCTACAAGTGTAGTAGATTACTGAACAATTAGACTGTGTGTGATTTCTGATCCTCACCACAGGTTTACAGACAAATCCAAGATCATCTACACTTCTTTCTGCCATGTTCACTGAAGCTTCTACCACATCTCACCACAGCAGCATCTACGGTAAGGATTAGATGTTGCCCTTGGATCACTTTGTATCAGAAAGCAGAGGAACATTGTAAAACATCTCGCCACTAAACAAAAGTGATTATTTATAACTTATTGATCAAGTTATGTAGGCTTCTCAAGTTATTGTTTATAACTTGTTGATCAAGTTATTTATAGCTTATTGATCAAGTTATGCTATGCTTAGAATTCTCCCTCAGTTACAAAATTTACCAGGGTTATACAGTCTTCCCTATTATCTTCCCTATTATCATTATCCCCTGTAATTAAGTGTCTGAAATGCAAACAATTTAAGCTTGATTACAATTGCCAGAAAAAGCAGTAGTTTTATAACTGCTATGAACTGCAGATTTATCAATCTAGCCTTCCAACAATGCCCAAGATAGGTGATTATTAAAATGGGTATTTTCATATCACTGAAAATACTGAACTCTTCAAGAGTCCATCTTCAAATTCTTTCATTTGTATTCTGCACTACCTATTAGCATTTATTTCTGGAAAGGTACCAGCTGTGCAGTTCCAGCTCTGAGAAGACCCACGAACAAAGCAGGGCTGGCACCAAGGAAATGGATACACTGAGGGCTTCAAGGAACTCCTTCTAGACCTTCAGATATAAAGTAACTCCTTGGCTAACTGAAAACCAAAGTGACTCAGACCCTTTATTAATTACAATAATACTCACAAGGAAGGGGAGAGCAGACTTCACTTCCAGCATGTGTTTTGGGGGTTTGTAAAAACAGGAACAATTAAAAATCAAACCTCCTCCAGCATGAACATTCCACAGTTGCATTCTTTACTATGTATTTAAGTTACTTACCTCCCTAACAGACAGCTGTGGGGGTAGTGACACAGAAAATACAAAGCTAGTGAACTGGTAGTCAGCAGAATTAACCTTCTGGCACACCTGTAAGAGAAGGAGTTGAATATTAAATCACAGCAATGGGACTGAATCAATATTCTTTATTCACAACATAATCACAGTGAATTCATGTTAACTCACATTCAGAGAGATGTTGAGCACACAAACCAGAGTAATCACTAACAGCTTAGTGAAATATAAGTTTTTTTGTTGTAAAAAAATCATGTTTGTCACTGGAAATAAACTAAGAATATAAACACACATCCAACATTTTTATTTAATCAGTGAGAGCTGATGGGTAGATGCAAACACACATGGAGAAGACATAGAAGAGGTCAGTGATATTAGTGAAGGTTAGAGATGAATTCTGAGCTTTCAAGGTGAAATCAGCATCTCAGATAAGGAAATTTATATATAAAGTAATTAGCTCTTGAAGTGCCTTAACAAGTGCTGTCAGATTTTGCATTGCTACAAGAAAGTAACTCTGAAACAACTCTTAGAAGTGCATTCTGTACAAAGATAGATATTCTGCCAAGGGAAACAAAAGAGAAACATAGTGCACTGCAACAAGAGCAACTATATACTATGCTCAGTCCCATTTTTAGATACATTCATGCTATTAAACCAAATTCTTTTGTATTAAAACTCTATTAAACATCTCAAATGCAAGTGTAAGTTTTCTCACTGGTATTTCAATCTGTCACATGAGCAATTTGATGGCTCAGAGATGATGTTTGCAACACTCTATGCTCATATTCTCTCCTGACTCTCATTTTCTCTATTATCTACAATCTGTTGTATCACCAAAACATTTTATTTCTCTGAATAGTACTTCATAAAGACAGGTTCATGCTATGTTAGAAACACAGAGTTCAGAGCACAGCAGCTGATGGCTCCTCATTTTCCTGTCACATAAAAAAGGGATGAGAGGTCACCATTTACAGTGAGGTTTTCCTTGGAAGCAGCTGAACCTCAGGTTATCTCCTAAATTCATGTATCCACATATCTGTTCATCTTTTTCTTAGGAAAGTGTGCTCCCTGCAGTCATTCCAGTGCACTTGCACTGCTATTTCTTTAAAAAGGGACACTATGACAAAGCCTGGGCACAATTCAGTCCCACCCACATGTTACTCCCCAGGTGTTCAAATACTGCCCAGGAGCAGGATGCAGTTGAATGGTGCCATCTAAATTTCAAATGCTCAAAATAGGTCAACGTTCAGGTTTGTTTTCTGGTCTCCTTCTCTCTATTGTTTAACTGTGCAGTGGTTTTAGTCACCAGCTCTATGCTGTAGGCCCCAACACACACAAGCTCCAGAAAAAGACCCCCAAAAGACTAAGAGCAGGTATTTACCTTTTTAACAAAGTCAGCCTCACAGAACTCCTGAAGAATTCCCAAACACACATTGCACACCTTCACAGCTGAGCTCTCCATTGCAGCACTCCCATCATGAACTGAAGGAATCTGTGGGAGTGCTCCGTTGTGGTTCAGATCATCAGAACCTTCCTCAGGGTGTTCAAGTCTGATTCTCTTACAGGGTGGGTCAGCTACATCCAAAGAAGCTGTGTCTTCTGTTCCTTGATTGGCTTTCAGAAATTCTTGTAAATCCTTCATCAAATCCTAACACAAACAGAGGAATCAAATTGTTGCTGGTTTTTCCTCTTTAACAAACACTTAAAATCCTCTAAACCATTCCTGTTTAACCTCAGCATATGTAATTAACTTGCAATTTACACCCAAAGACATCTTGAAGACAATTAAACAGCTCCCAAAATGTTATCCAGAGAAGCTCAATCTTGCTGAACAAACTTGTTTATCATCCAAGAACAAAAACATCCTCCAGACCTAACATGCAGAAACACATTTATCTTTGCCCCATTGCTATTCAATGAAAATAGACATTTATTACCTAAAAATATTTTAAATTGTTAGAATTTAATTCCTCCAAGTCCATTAGCCCAGGAAGAGAGTTGGTTAGTATAGTATGAGTAGAAAATGAGAGCAAATACAGATCGGTGGTGAAATTCAACACAGAGGAAGAACTGTGTATAAAGAGAGAAGCCTACAAAAATTAAGAGGATATGCTGAGAGAAGAATCACCTGCATGTCTCTGAATTTCTGGAAGGACGAGAGATGAAGCAAAACCTAGTTCAAAAAGAAAGATTTACTAAAAGGTGTTCCTACTGTGTTGTTGCAACACAGAGGAAAATTAGGAAGAGATGCGAATGAATAAAAAATGGCACAAAAAACAAACACTCCTCAAATAATTGATAGAAAATGGAAGAAGATAGGGAAGAAAAATGTTTAAAATCAATTCTAGAGAGTCTAAACTTGAAAAAAAAGGTGAAAAAAACAAGACAAACACCAGCAGACACAAGCATGAAGACCAGGGATTAGAGCAAGCATTGGAGATGTTTATTTGGCCTATACAAGTCTCAAAGAACCAATACAGAGGAGAAGCAAAGAGCCAAAACCAAGTTGAGGAGTTTCAAACAAACACAAGAACAAAGGCAAGAAAGACAATGCACAGTTAGGAAAAATTTAAAGAACACTGAATTTCAGCACTAGGGTCAGCTAAAAAGGGTTTCTAGTAACATTGTGTTTGACAGAGTGAAAAAAAAAGATTTATCCTTAACCTGTGCTCTGCAATTCCTCAGTTGCATCCCCCTACCAATTCTGCTGAAGGAAGAAGGAAGAATGAGGCAAAAAAAGTCAGAAGCATAGATGGTTCCTCCTTTCATCAGCTGCACTGCACACAGCCCCTTTGCTACTTATTACATTAAGGGAAAAAGAACAGAGGGAACAGTCATAGCTGCTCTGCTTCAAAAGCAACAGAGCCATGCTGTGCAGAAGCTGACATCTGCTTTCCAGTGTTTTCAGGCACTTTCATAGCCAAACTTAGCATTTAACCCACAACAATAGCTATATTCCATGATTCTTGTAATTCCTCAAAATAGCAGCAGCTATTTTTCATCACTCATTTAGCAAAGTGTTTTCCTCTCAGGCAAAGAGCCCCAGAATAAAAGCAGCTTCCCCTCCAGGTAGTGCAAAGAACACTGCATTCATGTGCTCACACATTCCAGCCAGGAATACATAGGACAAACCTTGTATGGATGTCTGTAGAGCACCTGTGATCCCACACAGCAGAACCTCAAAACACATCGTGGGCAAGTGCCAGTGTTGAGTAATAGCTGCACAATTGGTCTGTCCTTTTCTGTCAGTGAAGACATACTGGATAATCCTAAAATCCAAAAAAGAAAATGGCAAAAAAATGCTTAGAATAAATACAATTCAACAATAAAAGGACTTCAACTGCAGCATATTTAGAATAACTGGATTTTTTTGTCTTCTGGAGAAAGTTTAGGGTAGATGTTTGGTTTAAATCACAGGCACAAGGGAAGTGGAAGACCAACCCAAAAAGACCAATGACTGGGGGAAAATTCGGCTGAAATTTGATAACAGGATAGGACCCTTGGCATTTTTGGAAAAATATTGATAAAGAAAGATTCCCACTGAGGTGCTCATCCTTCCTGGATACCGAGAAAACTTTAGGAGGCATGCAGGAATAAACACAGTTGTTCAGAAGTTCAAAACTGGTCTACTGTCACCCAAAGCAGGAATAAACAGGTACCACAGGAAAATATGTGTGTGCAGGGCACATTCCTCTGCCAAGTGCTCTCTGCCTCCAGTTATTTCTGGTTTGAGGGGATTCCTTTGGTAAACATTAACAGATCCTTCCTCCAAGTGCTCTCCAGTGTCTCTTTGGAATTCTTCTGCCTCTACATCCTATGAATAAAGAACTCCACACTTTTAACATCCTACCCTGCTCAGAAGTACCTTGATCAGAAATATTGCAGCCATAGAAAGCATCCACAGCACAGGAAAAGCTATTAATCCAGCTAATCAATTTCCTCCTGGATTTGGGTTCATTATGGGAAGTTGCAAAAACCAAGGGCTACCTAAAAGACATCAAACTTGCTTTCAGAAGCAAACCAACACACATGCTTTTGGGTAAATGTTAGCTGATTCAGCTTCGTGAGACTTAAATATTGCCACATTATGGCAATTGTGGCAATATGGGTGATTTTTTGGGGCAATGTCAGGGCAGGGACCAGCATCTCCATTCTGGCCTGACACCTCAGGGCTAGGGGGGCAAGCTCAGCACCCCCAACATTCAAGGCTGAGGGAGCTCAGCACCCCCAGTGCCTCAGAGCTGAAGGAGGGAAAGCTCAGCACCCCTGCTCCCAGCCCTGCACCTCCGGGCTGGGGGAGCTCAGCACCCCCAACACCTCAGGGCTGAGGGGGAGAGCTCAGCACCCCCGTTATGGGCCAACACCCCATCCTGAGGGGAGCTCAACATCCTTGACACCTCAGGGCTGACGGGAGGAGCTTAGCACCCCTGCTCCCAGACCAACACGTCAGGACTCCTAACACGCAGGAGCTGGGGGGGCAGCTCAGCACCTCCACTCTGGCCCAACACCTCAGGGTAACAGAGAGCGCAGCCCCCTCCACACCTCAGGGCTGAGGAGCTCAGCGTCCCTACCCCGAGCCCGACACCTCGGGATTATGGGGAGCTCGTAACCCCCAACCGCTCGGGGCTGGGGGAACACCCCACTACCCCGCACGGCGCTGCCGCGCGCGGGCTGAGCCGGAGGCAGGGGA